AGACAAACCACTTAACTCAGACTGACGCCAGCTCACTAACAGTCGCGGGAGACCCCCAGCTAACACCAACTAGCAGCACAACTCGTAACTACAAAGCATGCGCGCGCAACAGGTCGGTTCCGGTTATTTTTGGGTCCTCCTTCGTACACATGGGATTGCTAATATGTCAAGCTTTTTAAATAGATCTCTACATGTATGAGTTGGGCCCACTCCCATCATTGTTCTTATTATTTTCTTTTGTATAACAAAGACTTTATGACTGATGTATTTCCCCAGTATATTATTCCATATTTCACCAATGAATGTTAATATGCATAATATACAGTTTTAAGACTATTCATATTTAATATATAGGATAATTTTCGCATTAGAAAAACTGTGCTCAACTTGTGAAGCAAAACCGATATGTCCCTTTCAAGTCAGATGATTGTCCAGCTGCAAACCGAGAAATTTTATCGTTTGTACTTCTTTTAGCTTTTTGTTAAAAAACAGTGTATATAGAGGGTAGCTCGTTTGCTGCTGTTAGGGTGAATTTTATCATTTTTGTTTTATCCAGATTTAACACTAATTGATTATTTTGAAATCATCTAAACAGGTGATTAAAAACAACATCCAATTTTATTTTTAAATTATAGTAGTCATTAGCTGTGATTGAATTAGATATTAAGGTCCAAACAGGATCTCTTATATTCTCAAAATTATACCATAATTTGTTTTCTGTAGACTTAATTGCATTAACTAATTTTGTCAACAGTTTCACCTGTGCATTGTTAATAATAATTTATCACTACTTTGAAGAATTCCGTCTTCTGGAATGTGGCGCTATGTAGATTTTGTGTGAACCAACGATTTGGAAAAATACATCACCTCAATCTTCAGGGTAGAATAATCTGTGAGTGTGAACAAGTGGCTATCAGAATGAGCCACTAGTTTAAAACACCTAGCTATATAAGAATGGGGGGGGGCACAAGGCAAATCAATAGAGGAGAGAGGTAGGGTCTGTAAGAGGTCAGGTAGGGAGGCCAGGGCAGCAGGGAGCAGAGAGCGGTCCAGAGCAGGTAGAAGAAATTTGTTGGGATGGGGAAAAGCCAAGGCTACCGAGCGAGCATTGACCCACATAGCCTTGTACATCTGGTGTCATTTTCAGGAGGTTTCTTGACGGAGCAGATGAGAGGCTTCCATGACATGCCGAGACAGAAAACAAGCTCTGTGTTCATATTGTTGGGTTGGAGCTCAATCTCAGTGACCTACTTAACGATGTGCTCCATGTACTGGGTTTTAGTTGTGAGATGGAGATCCTGCAAAATTGAATGCAGTGTCCCAAGTTGTTGACACTGTGTTCAGCCACGGCTGAGTTGTCTGGATGTTGTAGATGGATGCGCCGCTGATGCTCCTTCAGTATGGTGACCTTGCTTCACTCACAGGGGATTCTGTATAAACCCAGTGTCCTTAGTCCTTTGACTGGGTGGAGGAGGCAGGCCCACTGACTTAATGTGTCAGGACAGCACTCAGTTTCCTGTGGCCAGTCAAAGATATTTTAGGACTGAGGACACCAGGTATATGCAGAATCCCCTGTGAGTGCAGCAAGGTCTACATTAGGCAGACAGGCCATTCTATGGACACCAAGTGGAAGGAACATCCATCAAGGACATCCAGACAAGTCATCTGTAGCTGAACACAGCATCAACTTAGTACTTTTCTCCCTGATCGCATGGCCTTCCTACCTGATCTCTAGAGACTCTACCCTTCTCCTTTGTTCATTTCCCGTGTGAACCACGCTCCCCCCTTCTGTTCTTATATAGCTGAGTGTTTTTGACTGGTGACTCAGTCTGCTAGCCACCTGCCAATGCTGGTTCCTCGCTGGTGGATTTTTCTACCCTGAAGATTGAGGCAATACATTCCTCTGAAACGTTGGTTCACATAAGATTTACACAACACCAAATCCCAGAAGACAGCATTCTTCATAGTCACCACTGTGGAAACCTCAAATCCTACATATCATTACTGTCATTAACCTCATGAAAGTGGTAAGATTCCTAATTGAATGAAACCAGACATAAGTTGAAATGAATTTGTTTCCTTTTTCAAACCACTGCACAGATACTGATGGTTTAATTTGCAGGCAATTTTCTTTGAATGGTTCAAGTTATTACATCTGGGAGTTGGGGTCATTTGTCTGTTACTTGTTGTGATTTCTTGGGCATATGAAGAACGTGAGCTGGTTAGCTTGGCAATACAGAAATGGGAATCCAAATCACAAGCCTTGAAGGAAGAGTAGAAAGGTAAATATTTCTTAGTTTATTCATCCTCTAGTCCTAGGGTAAGTGAACATTATCTAGGTACTGTTATATTAAAAGAACATGGAATTAGAAGCTATAAGTGTATGAAAGTATTGAGACTTATGACCCAGTCAGACCACTGCAGTCCTCCTGCTATAAAATGTGGTATGAAATTCAGAAATAATACATCCCATCTCAATCCACTCATTCGTTGTCCCTGCTAGTACCGATGTATAAATGTTCGACAAGGGTGAGATTAGTGAAACATCTCTGTAGTTAGCTGGATCTTTCATTTCCCCTTTGCCCATGTAAATCATTTTATAAACTCATCTTTCACACTGCTGGAAATTTTTCTGTTTCATAAAACTTATTCATTACAAATGTTATCATTTTACTCATTCATTCTTTCTTAAATACCTACTTCTGAAATCCCATTAAGTAACTGTAAAGTCCTGCTGCCTTTCTGTTTTTATCCCTTTTTTTTTTAAATATGTGTGTGTCTTCCTTCTCAGTTTCTGTATCTAGCTCTACTTATCCTGTGCGCAAAACTTACTTTTGTTCATAAGCCCCAACTCCATTCTTCCCCTACTTTAAAGCCACCAAATATACTCTCTTACTTTCTGGGGATGTAATTTGTGTCCTTAGCTTACATGTCATATTTCTTATTCCTGTTCACAGTGTCTGAAAAGTCTGGCTCGAACAATAGTGGGAATGTAATGCCGTGGTGCAGGGGGGGCATGGAGGTAGCCCTCCCGCTGCCGCCACTGTTATGCCCTAGCGGCGCAGGGGGGCGTGGAGTCAGCCTCCTCTGCTACCACCGTAACACTGCAAGTAGGGGGGGCGTGGAGTTATCCCTCCTCGCCTCCACTGGTTAGGTCGTAAACTGGTACTACTGGTAACGTCGTGCCGTCGGGGGTGTGCAGGTACCCCTCCTTGCCTCCACTGGTTATGCTGTAAGGCGTTAACGCAACCATCCTAGCTTACCCTTAGCTAGGATTCTCCTATATCGGAGTTTCCTTCTGTCATACAAGCTGCCACCATCTATTTTCTGTTCTTTCAATTGTGGGGACTACTCCCTGGCATGTAGTCATACCCCTTCTTGACCACTCCTCCCTTAGTTTACAGGTAGCGTCTAAATACTTATTAA